CTTTATATCTCCTCCGCTCCCGCAGCTCACAGTGCCTTGCAGCCCACCATTGCCCTCTACCCCCAACTGCCACTCTCCCCGCCCGGGGGCACGTCTTCGTGTGACACCAGCCCGTGCGAGGGAGCGGCAGCCGTGTGTGTGAAACGACCGCTGGAGGCGTAAGCGAGGACTGGGCTAGAAGGGAAGGCGAGGACGCAGCAACAGAAACAACTGGAATGCACAGGGGGAGGGGGGATAAAAGCACAGCGAAGTGAAAGCAAAAACAAACAAAAAGGCATAACATAACTGTGCTTGCCCGAACCGAAAAGAAGCCGTGCATCTTGGGAATGTGCACTTTTTTATTTTTAATCCCTTGAATTGTTCTTTGTTGCAATAAAAAACAACAACAAAAAAAACAAAACATGCACCAACGGCGAAGGCAAACTACGTGGTTGCATGTGGAAGGTGGGCGACAGCGCTCCCCCTCTTCCCCGGGCTCTCCTCATCCCCACCCTTGCTGTTTCCGTGGCTCTCGCACCCTGTACTATTTTCTGTTCCCCGCCCACCTCCGATACCGACTGGACGTCGACGCCGGTGACGGAGAAGAGGAAGGAGAGAAACAAGAAGAAGAAGCAAGGAAAAAGGCACACAATGGCACTTGCAGCAGCGCAAGCAGCATCGGGTGGCAACAACGATGCCGGTGCCGTGGCCGCTTCCTCCCCCAAGCGTTTGTTTAATCTCCTCGAGTCGAAATCAAAGGAACGGGTGCTGCGGTTGGTAACGGCCTTCCGTGGCTCGACGCTGATGGAGCGGGAGGCTTTCGCGCAGGAGATCGGTGCCACCCTGCTGACAGAAGAGCACCAGCAGCAGGAGTTAGGGCCGCTGCTGAGTCGACGACTCAGTGGCCCGGCGCTGCAGGTGCGCTCTCGTGACCGAAGTTACGTCACCTTGGCTGAACAGAAGCCACACATGAGCTCCACGGCGGAAACGGTTGCCCTGATCAAGTCTTTGCTGAAGCAAAAGCCGTTATTGCCTGCTCCTGTGGGGCAAGCGGGGGACAACGCAGAGCCCGGCGCAAAGCGTGACAGTCAATCGTCGGCAAGCGCATTGGGTGATGGTGCTGCTGATGCCAACTCCCAACATGAGGTCTCGCCACCTTCAAAGGGAGGCGAGACGGCTGCTGTCGCCGAATTTGATAAGGAGGAGAGAGAAAGGGAGTCCCAGACGCCTGCTGTCTTGTTCCGCACTCGTGGTTACCAGGCCCTGCGCCTAGCTCGTGGTGAAGAGCACCCTCCTGAGGTGGAGAGTGATGCTAGCACGAGGCGATCGGTCCTGAACCTTACCGGTATGCCCCTGGATGAGGCGGACTTGTGGGAGTGGTTTGAAATACTGGATGTCGCGCGAAATGGCACCATTGGCGTGTTGCCTTTCCTGCAAACCATCAAGGACCTGGACCGCGGCTTTGGCCTGACGGAGAAGTCAGATCAAGAATTTGCGCGGGATGTGGAGGCCATCGCAACGGACGGGCAGCTGACGTTTGAGAAGTTTGCGTATCTGGTGACGCGCTTTCTCAGGCAGTAGGCGGAGAGCATGGAACGCGGGCTTGACGCCAACGCCGAGGCGCAAACGAATCGGGAGGGGGTGGGGAAAAAAAGGAAAACAAAAAAAAGAAGGAAAATATACAAAAAGGAATCTCCTTGGAGAGAGGAACATGACTCGTCGGTGTGGGTGGGAGGGGCGTGTTCCAATGTACATCACTTACTTTCAATGCGAACCCGCCCTTCGTGTTTTTCCATTTCCTTTTACACATGTACAGTGAGAGCTGGGGCCGGGTGAAGTGCGTGCCCCCAGAGAGAGCGAGTGAGAGAGAGGGAGAATCAGAGAGAGAGAAACAAAAAGAGGGCACGCGCGCGAGAGCACAATGTCGTTTCCGTTTTGTTTTTGTATGCGTTCCGGCGTGCGGTTGCTTGTTTGCTCCTTCTCTCTTTCGGCAGGAACTACGGTGCGGGCCGACGATGTTTTTGCGGCGTTGGCAGTACTCTGACGATGACGGGCGATTGGGGGGCCTGCGGCTTGGAGTTCGGCGTCCGCCTCCCCCCCACGTGGATGTGTGCCTCTCGCGCGGGGATGTTGGAATGTTTCTCTGTTTTCTTTTTTCTTCCCTTTTTTTACTTCTCTTCTTTTTTCTTCCGCCGCCGCCCCTCGCCACCGCGGCAAGAAAAAGAAGGAAAGAAAAAAAAACCCCGCCACGCTCGCCGCCGCTGGGTGGTGGCTGGTGCGTGGTCTCCTCGCGACGTCGCCGAGGCCGTGCCTCCTCCTCTGCCTCTTCTTGTGCCTTTTGCCTGGCGGGGCCTTCGCGAGAAGCGCGGCGGCGCAGCAGGAAACCGAAGCATAACAAACCACAAAAGAAAAAGGATAAAGGGAAAACAAACGAAAAAAAAGTATAAGCGAGCAAAGGGAAAGTAGGTGAGCCACCACCACCACCAAAAATAAATAAATAAATAAACGAAGAAGGAGAGAACGATGCAGCACCTCTTTGGGTCTTTTCTGTTAGAGAAGCACGGCGCCAAGGAAAGTGGCGGAAACCACAGGCGGGTGGGGCAAGAAAGGGAAGTGGAGGCTGGCGGGGCGGAGTCACGGCAGGGGGGCCCAACGTGTGACGCGTGTGGTGACATCTGTGACGAGGCAGACACGACTTGGGAACTGGAGTACGTTCCGGCGACTTATCTGCACGGGAAGTACGTGCTCTTGTACCTGGCTGAACCCACAGGCAACGGCATCGCGGTTTGTAAGCCGGAGGCGAATTCCACAGCGAGTTCACAGTCACGCGGTGCAGGGGGCCAGGCTCTTTCCACGTCTGCCTCTGCGAACGTACCTATGCTAGACTCCACCCTGGGACCGCCACTTCCGATTGGGGCAACTGCGTCTGTCCAAAACGCGCAGCTTAGCTATACTGCGTCTACCTTTGCAAGCAAAGTGTCGCAACGCACCAGATCCCAACTGTCGGTGTTTTATGATCTTTTGGTCCATCAACTAACGTCGTCTTCATCACAAGACAGGAAGCCTGTAGTTCCCATTGTTGTTTTGGAAGTACGTCAGCCCAGTGACCCGCGGGAGGCTCCAACGAAAAACGGCGCTTCAACAGAGCAACAAGCCATTGCAGCAACCGCGACGACTGCCGTTGCTGTGGACGATGTTCCTTCTGCTCCTCCGGCTCCGCCTCCGCAGGACCTAGCTAGTGACCGTGATACGGCCAACCCAGCATTGTGCGTTTCTCCATTTGAATCCGATGCCTCACCCAACGTGCCAAGCGCTAGAAGCCCTTTCTTTGGCGGGTGGTTCTCTTTGGAAAGTTCGAACGCATACCGGCAAGTCATTCAAAACTTTGGCGTTAGTTCTTGGCCTTCAGTGCTGCTTTTTGACCCCGCTGGAGAACTGTTGACGACCCACGCACTTCAGCACATCGAGCAGGAGATGAACCTTGGCGTGCTGGAAGACTATCATCCAATTCCGCTGACGACTCGTGCCACCAGTTTCCACTCGGACTTTCCGTGGTGCCTGGAGGAGACCCCAGGCGACTGCGACACAAAGCCGGAGTGCCTCACAGACGTGCCTCCGGTTTCGTCCTTTCTGCGGCGCCTCGTCCTGCATGCCCGCCGCATTGGAAGCGTCCTTGACGGCGACCTTACCTCTGAACCTGAATTGGTGTCCGAACGCGAGGAACACGGGACGTGCGAGGAGTGCCTAGATGGGGTAACCCATGTGGCCCTCTACTTTAGTGCGGACTGGCACCCATCGTCGCGGCAACTTCTGCCGCGGCTAAAACGCTTATGGTTTGCCACAAACCGCGGCAGTGACGGCAGTGACGGCGGCGGCGACGACGACGACGACGACGACGACGACGACGACGACAGGGGCCGGCACGGGGAGAGAGTTCGCTGGGACATGGAGCGCAAGGCGTTTGACATGTCCCTCTCGGGTGCGGATTTGCCACTCGACTCGCAGTGCATGCTCTCCTACCAGATGGGGGGATACAGCGACCCCCGCCCCAGCACAAGTCTGCTGGAGAGCGAAACTCGAGGGTTCTCCTCAAACTACTCCTCCACGACGACGCCGCTGCAGTCACCAGAGAAGAAAAAAACTCCAGTTGTCGGCTCGCTTGTGAGACCGGAAGACGAGGAGACGCCGGAAAAGGCACGCATCGGACGTGTGAGCGTAAAATCAGCGCATTCCTCGTCCCCGGTGGATTCGTGTGAACAATCCCAGCTGACGTCAACATCGACGCCAGAGCGGCAACAAGAAGAACACGTGGAATTGGACTCGGAAGAGAAGGGGGAGGAGGCACAAGCTGTCCACCTGCAGGTTGTTTACCTGAGCTGCGACACTACCAAAAGTTCACTCTATTCAGTTCTCAATGATATGCCGGCCTCGTGGCTCTGTGTTTCGTCTCAGTTTGGACCCGATCACAGAAAGCTGATTGGGACATGTTTGGAGGTGTTTGATGTGTCTGCCTTCCCCCGTCTTGTTGTCACGGAGGTGAGGCGTGGACACGATGCGGCGGCAGGAGCGCCAGCCAATGGCTCTGTCCCGCCGAACTCGCCGTCGACTCTCGCGTTCCACGTCGTAGATCTTCGAGGGGAGAAGACAATTTTGCGCGGTGATGGGGCAAACGGGTTTCTGTGGAGAGGACAGGGGTCGGTCGGTTTGCCACAACTTCCGTTTCACAGTCCTCTGGCTAGCGGGATGTCTTCGCTGTCTGGTTCTCGCGGTGCGATCCAGTCGCTTCTTGCAGGGGGTGGGTGCTTATTCTTGCTCTGTGGTACAGGGAAAGTTTCGCCAGAACTTCACAAGCTCTGTGCCACCGCTCTGCATGAAGCAAGTCTCTGGTGGTCGCGGGAAGTTTGCCGCTTCGCTAAGCGGTTAGAGCATCGTTTGACGTCGTCGTTGCTGGGATCTTCGGCCCCTACAGATCATTCTCTCTCTGAGCGGGCGCCTGCACTGCTTCACCCGCCGACCCCATCGGGCGCTGCTGATTCCGTGACACCGGCCACCACCACCACGCCGGCGTCTTTTGCTGCGGCCACTGAGAAGCGGGAGCCGTATCTGCCTGTATATTTCCTTGACGCTATTGTAGAGGAGACAGAGACATACTACAACTCTGATGCAGACTCTCCGGCGAGAATTGATAGCAATGAAAGTCGTGACAACGGTGTATCTGGGGAGGAAAAGTTTCTAGTGCAGGAGTACTTTCTTTCTGAGGCGCTAGAGGATACACAGTTGCTGCCCCCCGTTGAAGGAGAGCCATTTCTGCTCTGTGTGCATTGGCCCGAACGACGCGCTGCCGTGCTTCGACAAAAATTCGAATACGAAAACGGTTCCATCCCGGCGTCTGTGCTGCTGCTACGCTCACCCTCGAGCACCGTCGCCACCGCGCCGCAACCCAACGGCTACCCCACGCCAGCGAATGCGGCGTTCGTTGACGGACGGCCGCTGGGCACGGCTACTTTGCCGGCAACCACCACGGAGTCTTGCTCGTGCTACAGTTCCCTTTCTGCAACATTGCGAGGGGAGGCCTCACCAGAGCCGTACCTACCGAACCCGTTGTGCTCACTGCCGCAGGTGAAGGCATTTGTAGCTCAGCATGCCTTTCGGCAACGTCTTTGAGTGGATTTCGGAACAGTGATTAGAGCGAATTCCTATTGCTGTTGCTGTGATGTTTCCATGTACCTCACTTTTTGTTTTTTATTTCCTTTTCCTCCGGAAAAGGGGTGGGGCCTGTGATAAACCTATTGACGTCTTTTCCTTTTTTTTCCAGCCCCCATTTTTTTTTTGTGTGTTTGTTTTTTTATTGTTATTCTTGTGTTTCTTATTTGCTCCCGTTTTCATTCGTTGAGGTGCCTGCACGCGGCTTCACTCATTCGGCTTCACCCATGTCATTGCCGCTTCCGTTGACTGCCCCCCCTTCTTTTTTTTTATATATTCGGCAACCACCCTCAGGGCTTTTGCCTTGTCTCATGGGGAGGCGGGAGCGGGTTCCGCCAAAATCCGTCGTGCCGTTGTGATGTGGGTTGGTCATCACTTCCGATAAAACAGAAAGAAAATAACAGAAAAAGAAAGACTTTTTTTTTTTCGCTTCGCGTTCGAGGAACCCCTTTGCCGCGCCTGTGGAGGGCGTTGAAGGGTGTGAGGCTCGCAACTTCTGCTCTGGCTGCTTCTGTGCTTTTTCTTGAGGAGGGAGACGAAAAAGGGAGCCCGAGGGCGCGCACAGCCGTCTGCCCATACGAGTGGGACCTCCAAGAAGGAAAGGGATCAACCATTAAACGGCGAGAGAAGCCTGGGAGGGAGGAGACAAGTGAACAAAGGAAGGAGGGAGGAGCGGAACGGGGGGTGGGGGGGGGGGGGGGAGGGCGAGAGTGCGTGGTTTACATCTACCGTGGAAGAAGAAGAGGCAAAAAGCAAACAAACAATTATGTCTTCGGAGAAGGCGGCATTGGCTCTTAAGCGCGTCGTGCTTGGGGCGTTAGCGATTTTTTGCGGTCTTGCGTTTGGCACCCTCCAGAGCTTGGATGCTGTAAAGTTGTTTAGTTACTTGCGTGCGAACGCCCATCTTCGCCAGATCCTGGAGTCGTGCTTGGTGGTAAATAGCGTTTTTTTCCTCAGCCTATGGGCCGCCTCCTTCCTTTTTTCCTACATGTGGGACTTCGGTGGAGGCATTGTGTGGGGCGCCAGCGGCGGCGGCGGCGGCGGCAACGCGGTGGCGGCGAGGAATGGTATCAGTCTTGCGGGGAGAGTTTGGTCGTCCGTGTTCGATCTGATGTGGGTTCTCCCCGTCTATGCTCTCACGCAGGCTCTCGGGGTGCGTTGGTACAGCGCTCTCTATACCGAGGCCTACGCTGAGAAGCGACGCCGCGCGTCCTCGTTGGGGGCGCAGCGGGAGGCCAGCGAGTACGGCAAAGACGGCGAAATGAATTCTCCACTTGCCCCGCAGGGCGCTGATGGAACTTTTTCGTTTCGCACTGTAGTATTGTCTGCCAGCGAGATTATCTTTAAGGCGCTTGTCACGGGCGTATACGCCCTCCTGGCCGCGGTGGTGGCTGCAGTTGTCCCTTCCCCAGTTGGAAATTGCCTTGCCTTTGTAATGAATAGCTGGCTATACGCCTTCTACGTCTTCGACTACCGTCTGTCTACGCAGTACGTGTTCGACCGCAGGTCACGACGTCACACCCGTGTGGCTCTAACGTCAGTGCTGAGATTTTTTGAGAGACACTGGGCCTATTTTTTGGGGTTTGGTGCCACCCAGTCGGTCATTACAGCCGCGTTACGAACTTCCTGGTTGGCGTCCTCATGGTTCTCCACCGCGTCGGTGACGTCAGTCCTCTTTGGGGCGCACATCGTGCTTTCCGTGGAAGCGACGCCGTCTCCTCGCGCCCCCTTTTCCGTGCTGATGTTCACACCGTTCTTCGCTCTCTGCGGTGTGGCGCTGCGCACCATTAGGAATGCCATGCGCTGACCTCGTGTGTCCGCAACCCCTGCGGCGGGGGCCCGGGGCTCTTGCAACGCCGCCTGTGGCCTCCTTCTCCCCGCAGTGGTGGCTGCGGTGTGGTGGGGGCGCGTTGCGCCGAGCCTTGGGGTTGCCACGCCGCCCTCGCTTGCGGCGGGAGGTGAGGGGCGTGGGCGGCTGGGGCGAGTGTCCCGCCTCTCTGTCCCCGCGGGGCCGGCGGTGTGGCCTCCCTGTGGGGCTTGCGCTGCGCCGTGCGCGGTTGCGGGGAGGGGCGATGCAGCCCCAGTTTTTTTTTTTTGTCTCCCTCCCCGCTGCCTGCGGCCAAGCCTCCTGCGTGGCCACGCGGCACTTCCCACCCTTTTTCTTC